CATGGGGGTCTTTGGGTACAGAAGAGTTGGGAAAAGGGGTGGTCACCTTGAGCTCCCAACTTAATGTGAGGTGTGGGGGCTGCTGGATCCAATCTCAGCCTTGGGTTATGCCAACACTTTCAGTTTGGAGGAATTACAGAGGTGGGACTGAACCACTTTTGTCACCAAGGTTTTAAGGATGGCAAATCAGATCTATTGATAGAAATGAATTATTTAGGGTTACAAATGATCAGACAAAACACTTTCATCAGAATTTTTTACTGAAACACTAAAACTACCATTAGTACAGGAGAAGATAGGACAGTGCTCTACACTAAAGCAACTGTTGAAGCAATTCTACTCAAGCTGGCACCAAAGAAGGAATTATGAATTAGAGAGGGATGGAACTCCCCCAGACCAACGCTCGGGGGGAGATCTCTGCTCTCAACCTCCAGCACTGACCTTGGGGGGTCCCAGCCAAGGCAGGAATCTCCACACACCCCCCAAGAAGGGTTCTGTTGGCACAACCTGCCCCTGGCAAATGGGACTGGCCCTTCCTGGTAGAAAGGGATGAACTGACAGTCACTGGACTCCAGGGGTTGCCTCACCATCAGGGGGGTCATTCGGGGTGGGAGCAGCAGATGAAGCTCTTCTCACAGTTGGGGTATTTGTAGGGCTTCTCTTATTGGTGGGTCCGTTGGTGTCTGGTCAAGGTAGAGCTCCGACTGAAGCTCTTCCCACACTCCCCACACTTGTAGGGCCTCTCCCCGGTGTGGATGCGCCGGTGGGTGGTGAGGTTGCTGTTCTGTTTGAATCCCTTCCCGCAGTCAGTGCAGCGGAAGGGCCTCTCCTCTGTGTGTGTCGTCTCATGCAGGAGGAGATGTGAGCTGGTCTGAAACCTCTTCCCACATTGCAAGCACTTGTAGGGCCGTTCCCCAGTGTGGATGAGCTGGTGGGTGCGGAGGTGGGAGCTGTTCCTGAAGCTCTTCCCACATTCCCCACACATGTAGGGTCGTTCCCCAGTGTGGATGTTCTGGTGTTGGATCAGGGCAGATCTCTGCCTGAAGCTCTTCCCACATTCCCCACACACGTAGGGCCGTTCCCCAGTGTGGATGCGCTGGTGTTTGATCAGGGCAGATCTCTGCCTGAAGCTCTTCCCACATTCCCCACATGTGTAGGGCCGTTCCCCAGTGTGGATGTGCTGGTGGGTGAGGAGGGTGGAGCTCCGGCTGAAGCTCTTCCCACATTCCAAGCACCTGAAGGGCTTCTCCCTGCTGGGAGGCTGCTCAGGGACCACCAGCTCGGAGCTCCGGCTCAAGCTCCGGCCGCCTTCCCGGCACAGGACGGCTCTTTCCTCCTCACAGCTCCCTGGGCTGGCTTTGCAGCCCCTCCTCCGGG